TGCTGCAACCTGGAGTAAGTTGGGAATGGCCACATGGAAAAGGGAGAGGAACTTACTCAGAGTTGGTTCATCTAAGGAGGTTTAGATTAAAGTTTGGATGAGGAATTTTGGGAAAGAATTCCTGGCCGGGCTGGAATTCCCAGAGAAGCTGTGGCTGCCCCTGGATCCTTGGGAGTGTCCAAGGCCAGGTTGGACATTGGGGTTGGAGCACCCTGGAAGTGAAATGGGATGAATTTTAAGGTCCTTTCCCACCCAAACCATTCCAGGATTCTGTGATCCATGAGAAGCTTGAGATGGAGCTTGGGCACGGCCATGAGAGGTCCCTTCGTGTCCCAAACCCCACCTGGGCTGGTCATGGCCAGACTGGGAGATCCAAAGCAGAACCAATCCAAGATTGGGATGNTCCGGAGGGTGCAAAGAGAAACTCGGATTGGAAAAGCGTGGGAAGTTTGGGATGGGGGAAAAGCAGGGATGGACCTGGTTTGATCTGAGCATGGACAGGGAGAAGCAGAGCGCAGGGTGGAATCACTGAATTCCAGATGGGATTTAGTGGGAAGGGAATTAAATCCGATCCCATTCCAATCCTGACACCTCCCATCATCCCAGGGTGATCCAGCCTGGCCTTGGGCACTGCCAGGGATCCAGGGATTCTCTGGGAATCCCAGCCCAGCCGGGAATCCCTTCCCAAGATCCCACCATCCCAAGCTCCCCTTTCCCACTGGAAGCCATTCCCTGCCTCCTGCCCCTCCAGTCCTTGCCAAATCCCAGCTCTCCTGGAGCCCCTTTGGGATGGGGAAGCGGCTCCAAGGATTCTCTGGATCCTTCCCTGATCCAGCTGCACAATCCCAGTCTGGGATTGGATCCATCCCCATCCCAACTCCTCTCTGAGAAGGAATTTTGGGAACAAGGGTGTTCACTGGAAATCTCAGGACTCCAGGAAGGGTCTCCCTTCCTCCTTCCTCCATTTTCCATCCCAAATTCCATAAAAATCCCTCAGGATGGATTCTGAGTGTCATTTATCAAGGAATCATGGAATGGTTGGGGTTGAAAGGGACCTTAAAGCTCATCCAGTTCCATCCTCTGCCTGAGAGCAGGGATAGGGGGAATATTGGGAAGGAATTCCTGGCTGGGAAGGTGGGAAGGAGCTGGGCTGGAATTCCCAGAGAAGCTGTGGCCACCCCTGGATCCCTGGGAATGTCCAAGGCCAGGCTGGATGGGGCTTGGAGCAACCTGGGACAGTGGGAATTGTCAGGGTTGAAATGAGATTGGATTTAAGGTCCTTTCCCACCTGAATCCATCTGGGATTCCAGGATCCCATCCCAAGCCCTGGCCAGGCCTGGAGGCCATCAGGAATTACTTTGCCACCAGAAATTTGGGATGATTCAAATTCCATCCATTCATTTCCCTCTCTGCCCTTTGTGACACTGAAAAATCCTAAAAATCTGGGATTTTCCTCCTTTGGAGCATGATTTTCATCAGGCAAATTCCCAATAAACCAGCCAGCAGCTGGAATTATTTTTCCCAAGCACATCTGCACTCCTTGCACTTCCCCTCCCTCCTCAGGACTGCATTCCCGGTTTTTATTGGTTCCGCTCCCTCCATCCCCCCAGGAGAAGTCGCTGAATGAAATCCTCCTCTCCTCCCTGACAATTCCAAGAATTCCCCTCACCCGTCCCTGTCCTTGGTGCTGGATGAGGCAGCGACTTCCCGGGAAAAGGAAGAGGGGGAGGCTGATTTTTAATGGAACCCCCGGGGTTGGATATCAGGATCAGAAATTGCAGCGTTTCCAAGCCCGTTCCCAAACTCCGTTTCCATGGGAAACGGCTCCCGGGAGGCGGGAATGCAGCGAGGGAAGCGGTGGCTGCCCCAAAAAGGGAAAGATTTTTCCAAAAAGGGGGAGATTTTCCCCTCGGGATGGGGGCTCGGGGAGGGGGTCGTTCTCATCCTGGTTTTCCCAGAGGGGTGTGGAAATTGTGGAATTCCAGGCGAGGAGGCGCCACAGGGATTTTCCGTGTGATCGAAGGATTTGGGAAAACAGAGTCAGAGTCCAGAGGACAACACGGAGCTGGGAGATCTGGGAATGTGCAGCTGGATCAGGGAAGGATCCAGGGAATCCTTGGAGCCGCTTCTCCATCCCAAAGGGGCTCCAGGAGAGCTGGGATTTGGGCAAGGGCTGGAGGGGCAGGAGGCAGGGAATGGCTTCCAATGGGAATTTTGGGAGCTTGGGATGGTGGGATCTTGGGAAGGGATTCCTGGCTGGGCTGGGATTCCCAGAGAATCCCTGGATCCCTGGTAGTGTCCCAGGGGGAATTTGGATCACCCTGGGATAGCAGGAAGTGACTCAGGAGTGGAATTGAACCATGGATCCCATCCCAAACCATTCTTGGATCAAAGACACTGAGGATCCATCTTGAGGGATTTTTATGGAATTTGAGGGTGGAAAAGGGAANGGCTTGGGAAGGATCCCAGGAAGGACAGGAGCTTCTCTGGGGAACCTGGGCCACCTCCACAGCCGGGAATTCCTTCCCAAGGTCCCTTCTGTCCCTCCCTCTGCTGCAGGGCTTGGAATGGCTCTGGTTCTGTCATGGATTCATGGAATGCTTTGGGTGGGAAGGGACATTAAGGATTGTCTCATTCCAGCCTTGACACCTTCTGCTATCCCAGGTTGCTCCAAGCCTGTTCCAACCTGGCCTTGGACACTGCCAGGGATCCAGAGATTCTCTGGGAATTCCAGCCCAGCCAGGAATTCCTTCCCAAGATCTCATCTGTCCCTCCCTCTGCTGCAGGGCTTGGAATGGCTCTGTTATGTGGTTTTGTCAGGGATTCATGGAATGGTTTGGGTGGGAAAGGACCTTAAGGATTGTCCCATTCCAACCTTGACACCTTCTGCAATCCCAGGGTGCTCCAAGCCTGTTCCAATCTGGCCTTGGACACTGCCAGGGATCCAGAGATTCTCTGGCAATTCCAGCCCAGCCAGGAATTCCTTCCCAAGATCCCATCTGTCCCTCTCCTGTACTGCAGGGCTTGGAATGGCTCTGGTTTTCTCAGGGATTCATGGAATGCTTTGGGAGAAAAGGGACCTTAAGGATTGTCTCATTCCAACCTTGACACCTTCTGCTATCCCAGGGTGCTCCAACCTGTCCTTGGACACTGCCAGGGATCCAGAGATTCTCTGGGAATTCCAGTCCAGCCCCTCCCCACCTCCACAGCCAGGAATTCCTTCCCAAGGTCCCATCTGTCCCTGCCCTCTGCTGCAGGGCTTGGAATGGCTCTGGTTTTATCAGGGATTCATGGAATGCTTTGGGAGAAAAGGGACCTTAAGGATTGTCCCGTTCCAACCTTGACACCTTCTGCAATCCCAGGTTGCTCCAAGCCTGTTCCAGCCTGGCCTGGGACATTCCCAGGAATCCAGGGGCAGCCACAGCTTCTCTGGGAATTCCAGTCCAGCCCCTCTCCACCCTCCCAGCCAGGAATTCCTTCCCAAGATCCCACCATCCCAAGCTCCCCTTTCCCATTGGAAGCCATTCCCTGGCTCCTGTCCCTCCATCCTTGTCCCCAATCCCT